CAACTAATATGGATGGGAAAAAGAAAGCTTAATATATGTATATATATACTATGAAAATGGTTGTTTGCTATGTGAGTCTTATTGATTTGCTAATTGATTTTGTTCTGATTTCATTGATTTTGATGCCAGGAAAACAAACATTTTCTAATTGAGTTTAGAGTCTATAGAATCAATTGGTTGTATTGAATATGAGCCCTATTGGATCAATTGTTTTGATTGTAATCAATAGCGGATGCTCAGGGTTTTTGCGTGCAAGCTGACTGCCTTTGTCCGCTTGGGCGCGCGGTTCATGATTTTCGTCGCCGTTCAATGGAGGCCGCGATTGCTGCTGATTTGCTCGATGTGCGTGATTCATACGTCAAACTGGAAAGGAAACAGTGTTGCGCCTGACACTCTGCAGCCATGATGCATCATGCTAAAGTTCGTGCTTTGTTCCGCTTTCATGTCTGCAAGAAGTGTTTGAAGACGAGGCGAGAAGAGTTCTGTGCAGCAGAGTGGTGTTGACACTTGACCTCAAAAGTGTGTGGCGGCGATCAGTTCACAGCCAGTTGTGTGCAGAAGAACTGTTTTGAGAACAGCAACGCTTCATATCCAAGTGGTTTGTGAAGCTTTCGCTGTGAGGTTTTTGTATTTCAATGTTTGACACTTTCCACGCTTTCGTTTGTGTGGGACGTTTGTAACCCTTGCTCAAGGTAGTAGGTTTTGCAGGTCAATTTCTGTGACGCAAGCAAGCCATTTTTTGGTTTGACGACTCAAACTGCTTTCACCAACAGCACCCAGGCAGCTCCATGAAGGCTGTCTTCTTGAATGCCGTGGTTGACCAGGCTGAAGACACTGCAAGCCCACGTGAAGGACAACGGCAAAGTCTGAAGACCGAACAAGGACAGGAGAGCATTGGAGAAAGGTGTGTGAGGAGAGAAAGAGCTTTGCAGGAGAGGTCAACAAGATTGCCAAGATGCTTGTGAGAATGGCAGCGTTCCTGAAAAGAGACAATATCCAGTGTCGATTGGACACAGTGGTTATCCAAAGAAGAATGGAATTTCTGGATGTCATGATCATTGAGCAAACATTTTTGGTTTTGCATCAGTGATCTTTTGAGGCCCTACTGGCAGCTTTTGTTCAAACAAATCGTTTCACGAAAGTTCTATGAAACTAGAGCTAAGAGAATTGACAAGCGAATTGATAACGTTAAAGGACAGAAGAAGAACTTGAAGAGCAGTTAGAAACACTTCAAGACTATGTCAAAAGGATTCACAGTGGATTGATCCTGAATGGAGGCTTCGTAAAAAGAAAAATGCCAACTGCACAAACTATCCTCAGCTACAACATCATGAGTGAGATCAACGCAGGGAACTTCTTAGCCAGAAGGAATTTGGAAACTCAGAGTAACGCTACAGGCGGCCAATGAAGGAGCAAAGCCATGAGGGGACCATTAAACAGAACATTTTAAGTGGGAAACAAAAATTTGTCCATGAGATCAGAATTTTTAAGGATGCAGGCGACGCAGATGTGTGTGGTAAACTTCAGGCACAAATTGAGGACATGTAAGTACAGGAATGGAACTTACTAGGGATAGGAAAACAAGATTCTGCAGGTACATGTGAGAAAGAACGAGAAAAATACGAAGAACTACTTGAAATAGCAGAGTACAGGAGAGATCATCCAGATGCTGACCCAGCAAAAGTACGTTCCAGGAACCCAGTTCCTGAAAGAACCAACCAAGCCTGCAGAGGCAGAGATATATAAGAATGGAATGGAAGAAAATGGCCTACGGTGGCAGAGTGAGCTCAAAGAGACATGTTTGAAATCTCACATCGCCCAGAAGGAGTGCGAACCATTTTCTGTGCAGATCAATGTGTAGACCTTATTGCAGCCCGTTTGCGTATCAAAATAGTGCGTTTTGGGGTGTCATTTCATGACTTTTGTATTGAAACAGATGCAAGAACTCATCGGACATGCGACGAAAAATTCGCGCGTTTGTGTGCCGCTTTTTCACATGTCCTTTGACAGTTGTTTGGTGCACAGTGGCGTCAGGTTGTTTACACCTGTGTGCAGGAAGCGCTACTGCCACGTCCGAATCTTTCGCTCAACTCACCACCATCGTGTTCGACTGATCACACGAACGAAGCCAGCCCCCCCAAACCCCGCCGAACTTTTTTTCTCGTCGCATCAACAACTCATCACCGTTGTGTTCTACTGATCACACGAACGAAACCAGTCCCCCTCCCATAGTATCTTCTGTCGTCACATCAACAACTCACCAACAAATCATCAGCGCTATCATTATCATCATCATCATCATCATCAGCATCATAGCCTACATAACATTGACATCCATGTGCACAGGGTCGGAAAAGTGAAATATAGACCAAAAAAAATATATATATGTATATTTACAACTATATATATATATATATCGGTTGTACCCTAGTTTGAGAGTACTTGGCGGTGAGTGGTCCAAAAATCGACGTCGAGATGCCATCTACTTTTCCTCGTTCTGCTGCACGTTTTAAAGTACATGGCACCGACCTAAAGTGCAGCCAAACCCACACAGTCAAGCTCCAGTTGATTGCCGCAGTCATGTTAGATACATTCATATACTACAGAAGCGCAATGTGCCTCTACTGTAGCATCTGCCTGCTTCTGCAGTTCATCCTGGAGTCACAGAAGTGCGCGCCTTCCCGCTCTGATTGTCAGTGTGCACCATCTACTGCGCGTTGTTCTTCTTCTTCCCTTTCTCCTCTCTGGTCTTCCTTGTCTCCCCCGATCTCTTCCCTCATCTCCTCTTGCCCCTCTCCACCAATTTCTCCCACTCCCTCCCACCCTCGGGCGCTGTCGCCTACTTCCCACCATGGATGTCAGTTTGCGCCATCTATTGCGTGCACAGAAGCACCGGCTCCTGGATCATTTACAATAGAATGCAATAAACCCTTTCCTGCCCCACCTCCCCTTCCCGCTTTGACTGGCAGTGTGCGCCATCTACTTTGCATTGAGTTCCTGATTTTGTTCTCGTTCTTTCCTGTCTCCTCTTTGGTCTCTCCTTTTCTCCTCCCATCTCCTCCCTCATCTTCTTCTTTTCCCCTCTCCACAAATGTCGCCCAGTCCCTCCCGTCCTCCGGCGCTGTCGCCTACTTCCCACCATGGATGTCAGTTTGCGCCATCTACTGCGTGCGCAGAAGCATCCACTCCTGGAGGAGGAGCAGGAGGACGAGGCGGTGGAGGAGGAGGGCGAGGGAGGGGCAGGAAAGGGTTTACTGCATTCTACTGTAATTGAATGGGTTCAGCGCGCTCCTCCTCCTCCTCCTCCTCCTCCTCCTCAGTAGAATGCAGTAAACCCTTTCCTGCCCCACCTCCACTCTCCGCTCTCCGCTCTCCGCCTCCGCCTCCGCCTCCGCCTCCTCCTCCTCCTCCTCCTTCTCTCTTTTCCCTTCCTTCCTGTCCTCACGCTTTGCGCCTTCCCACTCTGATTGGCGTGAGTCCCCTTGTGGCTCCTTTTCCTCCTCCTCCTCCTCTTTTCCTCTGCCCTCCTTCCTGCTGTCAATGTGCGCCATCTACTGCCCATTAAGTTCCTCGTTTGGTTCTCCTTCTTTTTCTCTGAGTCTGATCTGTTTTGCTTTTCGGTCCCTTAAAAGAAACAGAATTGGGAAGAAGGGAGCAAGACGAGAAAAACATACCTGGCGCAGCTGTTTTTGGGAACCGGGAAAAAATTCAGTAGATGGCTCTGAGAGCCCTGCCTTTTTAGTCACCGGTTTCATCTACTTTTACCCGCGCACATTTGGAACCCACTTGGCTAAAACGCCATCTATAGCCCCTCTCTCACCGCCATGTTTTTTGAAATACTGTAAAATTTAGCACGACTACACGTTCGGTTGCTGACCCGGAGGCAAAAACTTGAACCTCTACAAAGCCACCAAAAGCTTATTTTGCGGATTTTATGCTCTCCCTGATGGCTCTGCGGTTAAGTGCTGTGAATACGACATGGATTCTTCGAAAGCCACAATTTTTCCATAGCGATTCTTTTGGGACCGTTTGCAAAACAACAAACCAAACTAGTGCCATTCAAAGATGCGTGTTGGCATGCGTGAAGCGGATCAAAGCCAGCACCGCTCGACCTAAACACAGTCTGAGTTGCCCAATGCTGATTGATCCGTTTCGTTGGCCTTTGTAGTCTTTTGTGATGGGTTCGAGTTCTCCGGGTGCAGATATTCAATTGTTACATTAACGTTTCATTAGTTGTTGGGTGACTGCAAAGGATTTCAACTCTTCAAACCCTATTTTGTTGCGGTTGTCAAGTTTCGATCGCTGCTCAGGCTCAAGTCCAAAGAATTGTGAATAGAATTCCTGTCCCAACCTGGTTTGCAAAAACACTTTGTCAAATTTGTTGACATAGAAAATAATGTGGTAAGGCCATGTGCAAGTCTCAATATTGGTACTGCTGACGTGTACATGAATCAAACACTTCGTGGTTGGAGTTGGGCAGCGGTCAGCAAGTTGCGTTTGTTGCAAGTCTCAATGGTCCAGGAAAACGCACTCCAAAGCTCCAAAACCTCAGAGTCGGAAATAGATCCAAAGGGTTTCCGATGCCGATACTAGAAGTCTTTTAGCAGAGCACAAAAGACCTTCTTTTAACGCTCCGGTCAATCGCCCCTGGCTCAGCAGTTTGACTGCTCAGCAGACTGCGCCCTCCGTTGCTGTGCGGTTTTTGTTGGAGGTGCGGGTGGAAGGGTGGCTCCGAAAGGTGCAAGTGAAAATAATGACATTGGAACTGCCCCTTGGAGCAACCTTGGTCTGAGCATTGAAGACTTAGGGCGACTTGGACATGTCCACTCTCAAAGGCAGCAATTTCAGATGCTGGCTGAAGCTGGGCACAATGGACAATGCAGATGACACCTTTTTCTTGGATTGCAGCACCAGGTTTCCTCAGGACAAATGCGAATGCCAATGGGGAGTATGGAACCAACAACTTGGAAGACTGCCAAACAGCAGAAAAAACCGCTGGACCTTCCCCCCACACCGGAGACCACGCTCTTGCCCCCGTGGCGACCCGAACGGCCACCCGCGGCCCACCATCCGATCGCCATGACGCCCGAGTTGCTGATTGCCTTCGGCCTGGTGGTCACTTCGAGTGCCAGCTTGTGGATCGCCATGGCGTGCCTCTTTTGCCGAAACCTCCGGAGAGATGGAGGACGGGCCTCGGGGTCAAAGAAAGGACGTTAGGAGATGTTAGGAGAAGGGAACGTTTTGGGAGGAGTTAGGAGTGAGGGCATTTTTGTGGGGTGTGGTCGGAAGTTGTTGGTTTTTACCTAGCGAGTCAAGGACTCGCGAAGCAGATCCCCAAGCCATGCCAGCTTCGTTCAGGAGGCGCTCCAACCACGAGTCGTACTGGGACGGAGAGGCCAGTGGTCACCGGCGACCGGCAAAAGAAGAAACGTATGGCCGCCACTTCGGCCATTGATGGCTGTCCTGAGCTCCGCTGGATGCAGGAGGGGATGGGGGACCCTGGTAGAACCTCGCATGATCATGGTTTCAAGGAAGTGGACCCACCTTTTGTCATGTCACCCATGATGCCAAAGGTCTTCTAAGAGGCCTCATGCGGATCAAAGTAACCTTTCATGTGGAGACTGGAGAAGAGTTGTTCAAATCTTGCATGTGCGTTTGCAATAAAGAAACTACGACCACAAGGATCCACAAGGCAATAAGTCACAAGACAAAAATGGAAGATGCCTCCACAACTACGCATGTCATGTAGAACTGTCCTTGCAGCAGCGAGGAGGGCACCTGTGCCATTTGTTTGAGCGAAATCCGACCCGGCGCAAAGCAGCTCCAGTGCGGGCATTGCTATCACCGGCGCTGCTTGTTTGACTGGTGTTGCAAAGGCTTCGGCATGAAAGATCAGCAGATTGAATGCATCTCGTCTGAGGTCCTCTGAGACCTCGTGATAGGTGTCCCAGGTACCGAGACGGGTAAGACACGAGGATCCACATCTGATCATGGATTGGGGCGCATCCGTTCAGCCAGTCCGTTTCACTCCCAATTCTTTTGTGCCGCAGCGCCGCAGTGAGTCTGTTTTGTAAGTAGGGGTTGATGGGTCAACACACTGTTCTCAGTTTTCTTCTGGGATTTCGTGACTCAGGTCCGTTGTGCCGACAGAAGCACCCGAAGCACCCGACGCACCCCATGCAAGTGGAGGCCCAGGCCGAGCTTGGGGAGTTGATCTTCGCTCTTGGGAGTTGATTTGCAGCTGGAAGAGTCTCAGTGATCAGAGTCCAAAGTCATTCAGACCTTGTTTTGTGGACCTTCAGACCAAATTAACTGTGTCCAACTTTTACATGTGTCCATTCTCTCCAATGGATTTCAGTTAGTTTTTTTTCCTATTCAGATCAGTCAGTCAGCGCTGGAAGTGTTTTCTTTCGACGCTGGACTCTCTATCGATATTGTGAAGCTTTGGACCATGAATCATCTTCTGCCAGGATGTGGAATCGCTTGAACCGGAACTTGATGCCAGCCCGAGTTTAGTGAGTGTATGATAGTGACAGTATTTGTAGTTTGCAGAGCTGCAGCTCAGCTACTGCGGCAGCGTGTGTAGCCTGGCCAGCAAGGCGGCCTAGAGCATGTGCCACCTGTGCCAGGTTAGGGGTGTTTGGGTGTGCTGAAGCTTCGGAGGCTGATCTTCATGACATTCATGGTAGACTAAGTAGACTAAGTCTGAAGAGTTCTCATCGAAATCTCTAGATGAAGGTAGCTAGTCAATGGGGTGAAAGAACCACTTCGCTCCTTGGCTTCCAAAATCCGAATCTGCCAGACTTGTCCGGCAGAAGTGATGCCTTTGCATCTCTCATCTGGTCAACGTCGACGCCGGCGAAGAAGCTGTTGTCAACTTGGCCAAGCGTTTCGGCAACCTCTGAATTCTAGGTTGCGTTGGGTTCCTTTGCGCTTGAAAACACAGCGCGTGTTTTCTGCACAGCCAGGAGTTCATTTGCTTGCACAAGCCGCCAAATCCCGAAGCAAGGTTCATCCACAGGAAAGACACTCCTAGATTTATGTTGGGCAATGGCAGCCATACATGACCAACCATCAAATATTGTTTTTGTGAAAAGAAAGTAAAACAAAAGCAAATAAAAATGAAAAAGAAGCGCAGTTTGCTTTGTTTTTGCAGTTGTTTTGCTTTTTTTGCCTTTTCCTGGTACCACTTCTGCACTTATGAGAACTTTTACCCGTCAGCAATATTTGCTGTACGCTCCTAGGAAAAAAAAAGCAAAGCAAAAGCGAAAATAAATGCGAAAATTATATAAGCAAAACACACATAAAAAGAGCGACAAACACGCACAGCTACATTTTTTTGCTTTTTTGTTTGCTTTACTTTTGTTTTGATTTTGTTTTTTTGCTTCATAAAATGATTTTGGCTCCTTGTATCTATGGCTGCCGCGCCCGACATAATCCTAGATTGTCTAGTTGGGCCCGTTGATCATGGACATTTGGCGACTGCGAAGAGCAGCGATGAAGACCCCAAAGTGTGTCAACATATTTTCTAAAGATTGTGCAGGCTGGCTGCAGAAAAACAAGGTGTGACAAGTGAACCACCTGGCCATCACTCTTATTTTTTGTTTTTGAACATCACTAGGTTGGTCCCTGCTTCATTGGTCCTTTCGCTTGATGGATGGTGTGGCAGATGAGCTTTGTGTAGATTAGATAATATACAAAAATAATACACAGATACACATGTTTTTTAGGTTCGTCATGTGCGTTGGGCCGGTTGAACGGGGAGGCTCTGCAAGCTGTTCCCCCTCCGGCATGGTCGGTGAACGCCGGCGTCCGGCCGTGGGCTTGGCCGGGCTCTTGGGTGAGACGCTGCGGCGTGTTCTCCGCTGCGGCTTACGCAGTGGACGGGGCGGGGTTCTTGGAAAGGACACTCTTTCGACTCTCTTCCTTTTCTTTAGCTGACTTTTCGTTTTGATTTGTTTGGTTATTCTTTTGTCCTTTCTTTCTTTCTTTCTTCCTGTCCTTAAAAAGATGGGGGCCTCATTGTAAAGATGGTAAAGGGTCAGGAGGGGTGAACCAACAGCTTCCTCAGCAGGTCTTTTGTTGAAGGGCATGTCCAAAAATCCATCCACGCATTCCAGGCTTTGGCACATCACCTTGCGTGTGCCGGGGTGAAGTCCTTTCTACCACGATTTCATAGCTTTCATAACGAAGGACTTCTGCTCCAGTGCCTAAAAATGCGCTGCAATGGCGCTTGCATGCTCAGACGACAGAAAACAGTGCACTTTCCTTGCTACCATTCTTCTCTGCAGAACAGGTGGTGAATTCTCCATGTGCCAACGGCCGAGGCCCATGAGGACCGTGCGCCCCGGGCTGATGAGGCCGGGCTGATGGAGGGATGAGAAGAGACTGGACAGCACTGGACCACACCGAGTTCAACAAAAAAGTTGCTCCTGGGAAGAATTGACTGGGGGATTCCTCGAGCTTCCAAGCCCAAAGCTTCTTTTTCAGATGGAATCCACTGTAAAGTTTAAGACTAGCACATGAAAGCTTGATGGGACCGTGGGAGGATCTTGGACAACTTGGATGCCTGAAATCGAGCACACAGAAGACATGTCTAAAGAGGCCGTGCTAGAAGGCTGTGCTGGAGGCTAAGCCCATGCGCTTTCTTCCAGATGTGGATGGATGTCGATCTTTTATGTAGGTCCTGGAAACACCTGCTCTATTATACAGAGCTCACCGGTACAAGGATCCGAATACGGTCGAGTGGGGTCTGCGGGGGATTTGTGAGGCTCCCCGCAGGCCAACTCATTTTTTTGGATGCTGGAGACTCTTCTTTCAGAGCCAAGCCTCTGACATCCATTTGAGTCAACACCTGGTTCCTAGCGCGGTGCTGCACCAACAGGTAGCCGAAGGGATGGAATGGCTCGTGCAAAAAAACCTCTCGATGGGTTGATGGGTCTCTTCGGCGAGGAGTCCTTGCTGGAAGACTTGCTGCGGCTGCGGAATCAGCCGGGAGCCTCCGGTCATCCGCGTGCGCTACCGCTCGCGCGTGCGAGACCGGAGCACGCTCGAGCCCGCTTCCAAAGAGCGCTTGCGAGGCTGATGGAGGTCCAAGCAGAGGCGTGCAACGTGAGGGAGAAGATCCGCTGTGCCGAGCGTGACAGCGCCAAGAAGGACAAACTCCTGCAGGACCGGGCGCAGGGTGTGGACGGTGTGGAAGGGCGCCTGGAGGCGCCTGTGGAGGCCTGAACACCGGGTGGGCGTTCAGGTGTGACAGGGGTGTGACCGGGGTGGACGGGGGGATGATGTGCCTTGTAGTCTTTCAGTCTTTCTTCTGCCATTCTGCAAGGCCTGAAAAAAAGAGCTCACTCTGAACCGTTGTAGTTTTTTTCTCCTATGTCGTTGTAAGTAGCAAGGTGCCTTGGTGACCATGGCATGGTTTGGCATGGCTTCTCCTATGTCCGTGGGATGCATTTGGAGATTGAAGTTGGATGGATTCTGATTGCCGGAATTTCTTCCTATGAAGGAGCTGCTGTCCAATGCGAAGGCCCCGAGCTGGCAAGCTGGCTGGCTTGGAGAGTGGACAAAAACATAGGTGTTCCACGGATGAAGCTTGCCAACACCACTTGGGTCTCACATCATTGTTCTATTTTGGTGCAGCTCTTTGCAGCTCTGGAACCAGCCATTTCGGGCGTCAGACGCCTCGGTCTCTGGGAGAAGGTGTCGGTCGGACATCGACGCAGGGGGGCAGTGGCGTCTCCGGTGTGGTGTTGGATCAGCTGCGGGAGGACCTTCAGGCGTGGAAGCGGGTCGGGTTCGGCTGGATTGCTGCACCCTTACGGGGCCTCCACAGAGCCAAAAGCAGCTGAAAGGCACCGGCCCCTTGACTTGGGCCAACTGTTGGCCCCCTATGATGAGTTGGACGCTGGGTGGAAGCAAAAGGCTGGTCAACTGGCATCTTCGCACACGTGCCGCGTTGACCCAGGCGTTGCTGCGGGCGAAGCGGCAGGCCTATGAGGCCCGACAGCAACTGGATGTTCCTTGGCGAGTTCAGCGGGAGTTCGGCGTGTTCGGCTTTTTCGGTTTGAGGGGTGATGATGCCATTAACAAGTAAGAAGATCAATGAGTCATTTGACTCTTTGAGTCATACTTTTGGAATGGCATCATCATGTTGAATTGTTCTTCTGGAACACCTGAAGGACCTGAAGTGCAGGTTTGCCACACAGCCCAGCGTGGCCGACCGCGTGGTGTGCACCCTTCAACCCAACGCAAGTCGAGAGGGATATGCAGTTTTCATTCACGAGGGATTCCATTTTTTTGCTGTTGGAGAGTTGTGTCCCTGATGGTCTTTGTCACTTATTTTTTGTTCCGTTTACACGAGGTATATAAGGTGTTTGGCTTTGAAGCTGTTTCCCCAGAACTGCTCATCATCACGGCTTGACCATCCTTGACCTCTACTGGATGCTGGAGGAAAACATCCGCAGGAAGATCGTAAATCAGAAGAGAAGGTGTCGTCCTGCTGCTGTTGCCTTTGTTGCTGAGGAGAAGGAGTCCAAGATTGCCAGTGTCCGGCAGGAGGGGCTGGGGGGCACCTCACCAGAGTTGCGACAAATTCTGCTAAGCGTCCAAGCAGGGATGATGATCGACTTTGGATTTGGTCCAGTTGGCGGACGAAAACAAGAAGACTGGTGCCACATGCGGCCGGTTTTTTGGAGCTACGAGATCATGGTAGGCTCAGTCGTAAGGCTCATTGCGCAGCAGTCTTGCCCTGGCCATTCCATGGTTTCAATGGTTTCAATGGTTTCTGATCTCCTTCCAGCGCTTGAGCACCGCAAAGCCTTCAATAGGTGGGCACTCTACCCTGCATGTTCTACCCTGCAAAGCTGAACAGTGTGTCTGAACAAGACTTGGCGTGAAACCGAATCGCACGAGGCATGGCGAAGCAAAACGGCCCCAGGTGCCCCCACCGGTGCGCTTCCTTTACCAAGAATTCCCCCACCAACCGTGTGCCAGCCAAGAGAAGTCGGCAAGAGAAGTCACCAGCCAAGTCAAGCAAGTCAAGCAAGTCAAGCAACATGAATCCAATGGGTGGTCCACTAAAAAAAGGTTATTCCAATGGGCTTACCTCAAATCCATTCAGGCACGACTCGACCGACCCCGACGAAGACCGGGCCCCCAGGACTTGCGGGCCACGAAGCTCAGCGAGCTGGAAGAGGATGTCCGGACGCCGTGGGGCTCGACGAGCCGAAGATGTGGTGGAGGGTGGATGTTCAATGAAGGGACCTCCCCCATCCTCCCTGGCCCAATGGTTTTTTTGTTTCAGTCGAGGTTTTCCGGTTTTCCTTCTTCCAGGGGTCGTTCGGAGCCTTCGGAGGCTCCCGCTTTTAATACACGCCCAGGTGGACATCGACGGGGAACACGGGCCACAGGAGGGGTGGAGATTGATGGTCGGAGTCCACCAGTCACGGCGGGGAGTTCACGGCAGCTCAGGTGCAGCGTGCCAAAGCTGAAGCCAAAGTGAAGGCAGGTGTTCTGGTTGATTTGTTCTCGAATGCATCTCGATCATGTTTTCCTGCACACAGGGTGTCGAAAGAATGCGTGCTTGGTTACCTTGTGCTGCAAGGTGAAAGTGGAGGATCCCACGGTGAAGAAACGGAAGACAGAATTGATTGATTGATTGATTGATTGATTGATCTGAAGACCACTCAAAAGACCTTTCTCCAAAGACCCTTTTTTCCGGGAGTTTAATTGGTTTTTCCTCCGCGCGGTGTCGAACAAAGAAGGGACACAACCACCTGACCGGTTCCGACCCGGTTCGGACCTCAGGCCGCGGACCTGGAGGCTCAAGGCCGAGTCCGCCGAGTCCGCACCGACTCGGTCCGAAATGGTTCAACCATGTAAGACCCTGTCATACTTCGTTGTTCTTCGGGCCATGTCATGCCACTTCGTTCGTTGATTTCGGGGGGTTGAAAGGATCTCACCAGATCCTCTTCTGGTGCTTTCCTTTTCTTCACACGTTCGGACGTGCCGTGGCATTCTCTAAAACATGTCTCAATTGATCCATATTGATCCTACGTAT